GTCAAACTATTCTCCAAAGCACCAGAAAGCAGGACAAGAAGCAATGGGTGGAAACTAACCAAGGAGAGAAGCAACTTAGAACTGAGGAGAAATTTCCTGACAGTTAGAACAATTAATCAGTGGAACAACTTGCCTCCAGAAGTTGCAAATGTTCCAACACTGGAAGTTTTCAAGAAGAGATTGGATAACCATTTGACGGAAATAGTGTAGGTTTTCCTGCCTAGGCAGAGGGTTGGACTAGAAGACCTCCAAGGTCCCTTCCAACTCTGCTATTCTATGTTCTAAGAAAAGCAAAGAAAACACTTGGAAACAAAGTTTTGTTTCAAAGAAAACAACATTGGAAGTTTTTAAGAAGAGATTGGGACAACCATTTGACTGAAGTAGTATAGGTTTTCCTGCCTAGGCAGGGGGGTGGACTAGAAGACCTCCAAGGTCCCTACCAACTTTGCTATTCTATATTCTAAGAAGAGCAAAGAAAATACTTGGAAACAAAGTTTTGTTTCAAAGAAAACAACATTGGAAGTTTTCAAGAAGAGATTGGATAACCATTTGACTGAAGTAGTATAGGTTTTCCTGCCTAGGCAGGGGGGTGGACTAGAAGACCTCCAAGGTCCCTACCAACTCTGCTATTCTATATTCTAAGAAGAGCAAACTTGCGTGTTTGTTTTTCCCCTTGGAAAGTTTTGATTTTCTTCTTCTTTCCTGAAGAACAGAAGGAAGGGAAAAAGAATAACGAAAGAAAAAAAAAGTCAAAAGCCGCGACTTACCCACGTCGGAACAATTGATCTCCCGGGTCGGGGGCCCCTGCCCGCTTCTCACCTGGAACACCCAGGTGCCCTCCAGGTCTTCAAACGTGCAGTTGGCCGGGGTGTCGGCTGTGCACGGCCCGAGTTGCAGCAGGGCGGCCAAGAAGAAGGAAAGCCAGGTTGCCAAGCGCGCCATGGCACCGCGCACGGTGGAGAGCAAGAGACAGACGCGGAGAGAAGAGACGGGCACGGCGGGTTCCCACGAGCCTGCTGAGCCGCCTGCACCCGGCGGGATCCCTTTCCCCGGAACAGCAGGGCTCGGCTAGGCCCGCCCTTGCGTGTCACGTGTGAAGGGTTGGGGTTTTGTTTCTTCCCGGGCTCCGAGACTTTTTGGCACAGCGCCCCGGACGCAGCGCCAGTTTGTTTTTTCGTCTCCTGCGGGGCGGGATTCCCGGAACAGAGATCGACTTTGCACGTGTTTGCCCGGAATCGATCCGGTGATTTGTTTTTAATTATTTTTTTTTCCAAGCCGCTGGAGAGTTTTGTCTCTCTTGCATTCTTTTTTATTTTTTAATTTGTTTATTTGTACATATTTTTCTTCTTCTTTAAATGACATCAGCGCTTAGTGAGCGGTGCAATTGTCTGGATCCATTTTGTCCATGCAAAGTATGAATCAAACTGATAGCGAGGGTAATGTTAATAATAACAACCGTATTCTAAATGCTTATAATGGCTCCTTTGTAATGTGAGTCTTACATCATTTACTTGCTAATAAGCAGTTATGGTGATACTGATAATCAACCATTAGCACCAGTCAATGGTATTTGTGATGCATTTTTGAATATTCATTTGACTGAGTTTCATGTTTAATGAATAAAGTAAATAACAACAACAACAACAACAACAATAATAATAATAATAATAATAATAATGCAGACTTTGCAAAGAAGCT